CACACTTCAAAGAAGCATCATCCCAAGCAGCAGCACACACACAGGCACACATACACATCCTGCAACTTGGTCCAATGTGGCCGGAAAATATAGTCCCTAGGCACCCCCGAAGACGCTTGGCTGCATCCTTGCAAAACAGCAAAGGTGGAGAGAGGGATAGCAGACGGAGCCAAATCGAGCCAAATCTGTTTCTCTGTCTCTCGCTGCCTGACTGCAGCAGGAAATGGTGGGTGGCTACTTCCTGCCTTGGTTGGTGCTGGACGTGTGACCTACTCTGCCCTGAGACACTGGCCCATCCTGCACTGTCAGGATAATGTTGCTGCTGTTGCCAGGGACAAGTGGGGAGGGACACATTGTGGCTCTGCATTGTAATGGGCTCCAGGAGGAGGAGGGGGCCGCGTTTCCCCCATTGTGAAGCGCACTAACGTTCACAGTGCTGCGCATGGCAGGCATCAGGAGCCGCAGCAGAGGGCCGAAAGAGACGCATGCGGCTCCAGAGTGATGGTTTGCCAATATCCAGACTAGGCAGTCACTGATCTGAAATGGTATAAGTTCTGCTTGAGCAGGGGGACTGGACTAGAAGACCTCCAAGATCCCTTCTAGCTCTATTTTATTCTCTAAAACATCATATTTTTTTGTCTGCAATTGTTTTAGATGGGTATCCCAATCCTAGCCTGATCAGTCTCCATCTAAAGCAGTGTTTTTCAAACCTGGCAACTTTTAACTTTAACTCCCAGACTTCCCAAACCGTCCTTTAGTTCTTGGTAGCAAATCAAAATATAAATCGAATAAATATTTCTTCCGACTCCTCAACAAGTTATGGACAGAAAACAAATAACTTTGTTCAGGGCTCCCAATTCCCTTGCTTTGAGCTTTTTCTGTACATCAGATATGTCTGATCAAAAACTGAAGCTTTTCATTTCAGAGAAATATGCATATTTCCCAACCAAAGCTTTGAATGCCAATAAGATCGCAGTTGGAAGTGTCTCATGTTTTGAAGCATTACAACATTTGAGGTGGAGCCCTTTTATTGGTGTTGACACAGCAGCAGGATAAAGACTTTGAATAAAGCTTGAAAAGCTTCAAGTAACTTGGTGCAAAATTCTCAGGAATGCAATGCTTTGGATTTTTTCTCAAAAGCACTGCAGGGGGATGTGTTGGTTAAACCTCTGTGTGCTGGGAAAATTGGCTTTATATGTGGTCAAATTTAGTGTGCAAAGTTTCACTTCACAGAAAAACCAAAAGTACACATATATACACGTAAATCCAGGCTTAATAGTAGTAACTGTGAGAGGGATCTTCAAGTCTTAATGGAGAACCAGCTAAATATGAGCCAGCAGTGTGCAGCAGCAGCCAAAAAAAGCTAATGCAATCCTAAATTGCATTAACAGAGGGATACAGGTCAAGATCAAGTGAGGCATTAATACCACTCTATAAAGCCTTAGTAAGACCACACCCAGAGTACTGCATCCAGTTTTGATCACCACACTATAAGAAGATGTTGAGACTCCAGAAAAAGTACAGAGAAGAGCAACCAGGATGATTGGGGACTGGAGACTAAGGCATATGAAGAACGGTTACAGGAACTGGGCTTGGCTAGTCTAGTGAAGAGAAGGACCAGGGGAGACATGATAGTTGTGTTCCAGTATTTGAGGGGCTGCCACAGAGAGGAGGGGCTCAAGCTATTTTCTAAAGCAGAAACTTTCTGACAGTGAGAACAATCAGCCGATGGAACAGCTTGCCCTCGGAAGTTGTTGGGAACACCATCACATGAAACTTTCAAGAAGAGATTGGACTCCCATCTGTCAGAAATGGTGTAGGGTCTCCTGCTTGGGCAGGGGGTTGGACTAGATGACCTACAAGGTCCCTTCCAACTCTGATTATCTGTTATCTGATTTCCACTCTGGTCAAGTATTGTGCAAGAGAGCTCAGGTCACAGAATCAAGTGATTGACTATGTGAGATGGATGGATAGATGGAAGGAGGGAGAGAGGGAAAGAGGAAATTGAAAAAATTGCCCTCTAGCAATCAACATGCTTCCCTCATATTTATACAATTTGAATGATCTTATGATAGTATGGCCACTGAGGGTGATGGGAGTTGGGATCCAAATGTCAGAAAAACACCAGTGAAGGAAAGTTATGGAAAGCATGTATTTCTGAACACCTTCAACTCATGGTGCTTGCAAGATACCTATCACCATTTCTCATTTTTGAGAAGCAGACCAAAAAAACAACACCCAGACATTTTAAAAACAAACAAGAAGAAATCCAAGATAAATACTGGTACATTTTCTACAAATATTGCAAAGATAACTTATGAGAGTGCTTTAGGATAGAACCTTGTACATATTTCATTACTTCTGGGAATGTCCATCCTTGATACCCAAGCGTTACAACTTTCAGAAGTTGTGTAGTTCTAATATTGTATAGCTAGAATTTAAAACATGGTCAGGAATAGAGATGATTCTTTCGGGAGTACTTTGTGCCTCGCCTTTCCTTCCGGTTTTTGTTCTCCCAATCTTTTCAAAAGAAGCTTAAAAGAAATAATGGGTTCTGCCCAAAAGCAATACAGTAAAAATATTGGCAGCAGTTGAGAGAATTTCCTGCTTTTTCATTAGTGAATCATTGAATCCCAAGGTCAGTTTGGTCTACTGGTTAAGGCGCCAGGCTAGAAAGTAAGAGACTGGGAGTTCAAGTCCTTCCTTAGCCATGAAAGCCAGCTGGGTGACTTGAGACAATCACTGGGAGAGTGGGAGTTCTAGTTCCACCTTAACTATGAAAGGTGACCTTGGCCAATCACTCCCTTGTAGCCCATCTTACCTCATAGGGTTATTGTTGTGAAGAAAATAGTAGGGGGAAGGTGGGTTGGGTATGTTTGCTGTATTATTTGAAAAATAATAAAGATAGGAGAATATGTATGTATGTGTATGTATGTATGTGTATATCTATCTATCTATACACACACACACAAATAACACAGCAAACATCAAACTTGCACCTCCTATTTTCCCCACATTTTAGAAATATAAAATGGCAGTCCATGGGATGGGTATTAGCCTATTGAACCGTGCTCCATTGAACCGTGATGACAATACTGTAATGGTGGAACATTCAAATACAAAACCTGCATTCTGGAACTAGAGATAAACAGATATCAATAAAGGAAAGTATATGTAGCTCACAGGTTTTGGTGCTCTTGAGTTTAATTATTTTCTTGTAGATGTTTCATTACCCAAACTAGGTAACATCATCAGTGCTAGTAAGGAGTGGGGTTTACTCTCAGTTTATATTGTGGTAATTTGCCCTGTCAATGTCAATCAAATGAATTACACCAAGATTAACACCAGACCAACAATCAAAAAGTAAACAACCTCCCAATCAAAGAACTGCCATACAAGCTAACAGTAAATAGCCTTCCAAGATCTCTCCCACCAGGGCAAGCCACCCCATTCCTTACTAGTACTGATGTTACCTAGCATAGATAATGAAAGATCTTCAAGAAAACAACCAAGCACAGAGAGCACCTCGTAAACATATATTAAAAAAAAAACAACAACCCAGAAAGAGAAGCAGGCTGAAGTGAGAGATCTTCCTCTCAGTCTAAGGTTTTTAATCTTCCTCCCCCACCAAAGGCCAAGGGGGAAAAATGGAACCGAGTGAAGAAGTCCGACAATAATCTCTTGCTCTACTTTCTTTTGACTGATTCATCTCTAGAATCAACAACGTTTATGCCTAGAAGGGTCAACGGTTCAGAAGCCTCTTAAAACTAATCCCAGAGAGAAAACAAACAATGGGTTTCCTTACATGAGAGAGATTAAGCACAGAGTATTGATTAAGACATTTCCCTTCCTTGGGTGAGGCCTGATTACTCATTCTTTACTTTTCCCAGCTGTGCTTTCTTCCTTGTACAGAATTGAGATGAAACCAAAGATACAGAATCTCCTTTTTATGCTTGAAATCAGCATTTCTGGGAGGCAGTCTTGAAATTGCTAAGGCTGAAAAGCACTGCTCTAAGTTACCAGTAATCCTTGATTTATGACCACAATTGGGACTGGGATTTTGGTCATAAGTCGAGGCACCAGGTGATTGGATTCAATTTTACAATTGTTTTATGAGAGTTGTTAGGCAAGTAATCATGGTTGTAATGTGAAGCACATGGTCAATGAGTCAATCAAGCCATCAGAAGGCAAACCTATTTTATCACATAGGAGATTGGAAAATGAGAAAAAAGTCTCAATTTGCATGATTGTGTCTATTTCTGGTTTCTGGTTAAAAAACATCCATTGCAGCAATGGGCTTATTTAACAATCATGATATTTGCTTAATGACCAATTAATGACAGTAACATTCACTTTAAGATTGCTACATTCTATTTGATTGTTTACATGGGTGCCTTGATTTGCAACCATCATGACATACAGTGGAAATTCTAGGCTCCATTATAGTCATAAGTTGAGGACTACCTATATATTTAAAAGTCTTGCATTTCTGGCCAGTAATGGTCTTTCCTTCTTTCTTTCTTTCTTTCTTTCTTTCTTTCTTTCTTTCTTTCTTTCTTTCTTTCTTTCTTTCTTTCTTTCTTTCTTTCTTTCTTTCTTTCTTTTTTCTTGCT